TATTTTCAGTGTTCTAGCTTTGATTTACTTTTGTGACTTCTCTATCTGGGTTGATATCTGGTTGCTCTGTCCTGTGTTCTAGTCTTGGGTTGTTAACTGATGTTATTGATTTTCTAACTGGAGGACTCCCTTTAGTATTTCCTGTAATTTTGGTATGGTTTTTGCAAATTCCCTAAACTTCTGTTTATGTGGAAATGCCCTAATTTTGCTATCATATTTGAGAGACAGTTTTGCTGCATATATAATTCTTGGCTGGCAATTTTTTTCCTTCAAGGCTTTATATATGTCATCCCATTGCCTTCTTGCCTGTATGGTTTCTGCTGAGTAGTCAGAGCTTATTCTTATTGACTCACCTTTGTAGATGACTTTTCGTTTATCCCTAGCCACTCATAAAATTCTCTCTTTATCTTTGATTTTGGCAAGTTTCATTATATCTTATTGACTTTCTTTTGGGATCTACGTTTTGTGGGGTTCAATGAGCATCTTGGATAGATATCTTCTCATCTTTCATGATATCAGGGATGTTTTCTGCCAACAGATCTTCAACAATTCTCTCTGAATTTTTTGTTATTCCCCCCACCCCCATTCTGGTACTCCAATCACTTGTAAGTTATTCGTCTTGATAGAATCCCACATAATTCTTAGGGTTTCTTCATTTTTTAAATCCTTTTATCTGATTTTTCCTCAAATAAGTTGGTGTCAAGTGCTTTATCTTTAGTCTCACTATTTCTGACTTCCATTGCCTCATTTCTGCTCCTATGACTTTCTATTGAGTTGTCTACTTCTGAAATGTTATTTTTAATCTTCTGGATTTCTGATTGCTGTCTCCCTATGGATTCTTGCAGCCTGTTAAATCTGTTGTTATCCCCTTCTCTAATCTTAAGTTCCTCTATTGCTAGGTCTGTATTTTGCCAGATCTCCTTCCTGCTCTCTTGAAGAGTTCTGTATATTAATCTTTTGTATTCTGCCTCTGGTAATTCCAAGAAATTCTCTTCCTCTGGAAAATTCCTTGATTCTTTATTTTGGGAGCTTGCTGAAGCCGTCATGTTCTGCCTCTTTATGTGATTTGATATTGACTGTTATCTTTGAGCCGTCAATAAGTTATTATATTTACTTATTTTACACTTTCTTACTGTGTTCTATCTTCTTGTTTTGTCTCATATTGATATGCCCAGATAGACTGCTCGTGTGAGCCAGTCCGATTACCGGCACCCCTGAAGCTCCAACGTCCTACCACCAGGTGGTGAGTCCTGCCACTAAGTATGTGAGCCCAGGAGTTCGCCCACTCCTCCTGTATGGATTCAGCTCAGATGTCCAGGCAGTCGGCCACCAAGTGTGTGGTTCAGGCTCTAACCTACAGTCCTAGACAGGCATGGATGATTGGTGTAGTGACAGTCATCTGGATGCAGCAGTGGGACACATGCTGAGCAAGGCATGGGGCTGACAGCTGCCCCCATGTTCCAGGTGGAAAGTGTGTCCCCGTTGCCTAGGGTGCTTAGGTGGATGGGTTTTGCAGGCGGATTATCAGCACCCAATGCTGTTGGGTGTAAGGACTCGGAGGCATCACTTATTCTCGGGCCCCTGTTGCAGGTAGCTAGGTGTTGTGGGTGGAGCCACCAGTCTTTAGGCCCCTGATGTGGGTAGGTAAAGACCCTGCTTAATAGGCAGTGCAGTGTCAAACGTCAGGAATCTGCCACTTGACAGCTGAAACAGTTGAAGTTAGACTTCATGTATATACCCTGTGTACTGTGGTAATGAGGGCCTACACTGTTCAAATGGGCCCACACAAGTCTATGCAGGGGGAAAAGCACTCAAAGTCTGCAGACCCCTTATGCCTGTGCCTAGGCAAAGGAGCTGTGCCTACCCTGAGTTCCTAAGTTAGGGGAGCCAGCAGATTATTTTTTCCTGTTTGTTAATTTGTTCCCTCTCCAAGGCCGGGAGAATGGCTCAGGGCATGTGAGGGGTCCTACTTCCAGCCCTGGGGATTCAGCAATTGCTGAAGCCTGTCCCAGACTCAGTGTAGAGCAAGGAGCAGGGAAGTAAAGGGGAGAGAGGTTTTTCCCAAAAGGAGGTGTTTTTGATCTGTGTGGTAGGCCAGATGCAAGTACTTATCTTTCACCAACTGAGGGCTGCTTCTCACTAGTTCTGGATGGCCAGGTAGACTCTCTGCTTCTGGGTCTCTCCTGTTGTGGAAATCGCCTCCTGAGCACTGCTGCTCACCTGCCTCTCCGCGTACCACACTGATCTGGCCTAAAGGGCTCAGGCTCTCATTGGGTCAGGTCTGGCAACTCCTCGTTGCTTCCGAACCATCTCTCCCTCCCCCTGCCACTCAGTCCGATTCCTCAACTTTGCCTTTGATGTTCAGGGCTCCTAGACTGTCATATATAATCGATTCACTTGTTTTTCGGGTCTTTGTTGTCAGAGGGACCACCAGAAGAGTATGACTACTCTGCCATCTTGGCCCTGCCTCAGAAATTTTTTTTTGAAATATTCAAAAAGTTATTTCTCATAGGAAATTGAATATCTAGATAAGGTTCGAGGCTAGTCATAGATTTGGGACTGCCATCCTGCAGAGAGAATATAAAGTCATTGGAATGTACAACATTATAAAGGGTTTAGATTATAGGTTAACAGAAGAAGCAGCTCTTGTGACAGACACTAAATATTCTAACATTTTTATGGCAGGAAGAGTAAAGGAGAAGTGAGCAAAGATATGAAGTAGCAATCAGAGAAGTATAAAGAAAACCAAGATAGTGTGTTACCATAAAAGCAAAGAGAAGAAAACGTTTTCAAAGAAGAGAAAATAATCATTTCTAACAATATTATTTAAGGAGCCCTGGTGGTGCAGTGGTTAAGCACTCTGTTGATAACCAGAAGATAAGGACTGAAAAGTATCCAGTGAATTTAGATACATAGAAGTCATTGATGTCTGAGCAAAAAGAGTTTGGATGATGAGTTAAAAACAAATGGCACATTGGATAGAGATGGAAGAGTAAATGAAAGAGCATTCCACTTAAATCGGGTGATTTATCAGAAATATAGCATTCCTCTTCAGTACATAAAATGCCATTTCAATTTTCACAATATAAAGGTAAACTAAGACATACAAATAATTACATTAGTAGAGCATATATTAAGAAGCAAAAACAGTATAACTTACCATCTCTGAACTAGAACTGAAATAACTATCTGTTTGCCTTGGAGAGTAACTGGTAGACTGACTACTCTGTGAAGAATCAAGATCTGAAAATAAAGATTAATTCATGAAGAACTGTATTTATTAATATTCCATGAACTATACATAGGTACAAGATCGCCACTGATAAAATAAATTTGGCTAACATATCATGTAGCACTCTGAAATGTTAGATACTTGGTAGGTTGAGTTTATATAGGCTGATTCTACACTTAAAAGATTTTTTTCTACAAGTAAAATAAAGGTAATAGCATAAGCAAGGAGTCCCTGAGTGGTGCAAGCAGTTAAGACACCCCGCTGCTAACCAAAAGGTTGGAGGTTTTAATCTACCCAGAAGTCCCTCAGAAGAAAGGCCTGGTGATCTACTTCTGAAAAATCAGCCATTGAAAACCCTATACAGCACGGTTCTACTGTGACACACACGGGGTCGCCATGCGTTGGAATTGACTTAACAGCAACTGGCAAACTGGTATCATAAGCAAAGAAATGAGAATTGAGAAATCTGGATGGATTTTTTTCCAATATATAAATCATATTTTTGTGAACAAACTATTCAAAGTGTCAACCTGTAGAAAGAATAAACAAACTAAATTTATTAAGTTCTAAGGCATCAGTTATTTGCTAGTCTAGTAAATGAAGCTTCATTGCGCAATCAAAAGTATGAAAAAAATCTATTCAAAGCATCCAATATGTTATTCTTTCATTATCTGCTTAATGTGTTATCTTATGGTTAAGTAAACTATAAAATGGCCCTAAGATATTGGTTATGACTCCCTATAATGCATAAACACTATAGATAAACAATAGCTTCAACCACGCCTGTCTTCTTGTTTATGAAAATTTATTTGCTATCAAAAACAAAAAACAAGAGGTAATGGAATACGGAGCATAAACACATATCAAAAACACATGCCCTCCTATAAGCAATGAACTATGAGTATTATCTATTCATGCCTCAGATCAGGGCTGATGCTCTTTGTAACAGAATCTTAATGTCAAACAGCTGAGTAGCAGAGAGAACTCAGGTGAACTCAGATACCCTTAGTTCAGCATTCTAGAAGGAAATGTATACCCCCATGCAGCTGGTTTTCCAAACAGCTAAAAGGAGAGTACAGGAAAGTAAAAACCTTGATTTTACTAGTAATAACTATATAATAACATAATCTAACACCATTTCTCCCCAATAAGGCCCATAAGTACAGCAAATCCAAAGTCATTAGTAGGAAAGAAAAATGTCAGCTGAATGAATGTGTTAACTCCAAAGGTGCAGAAAAGGATATGCTGATGAAAACAGTAGTGGAGAAAGATATAATATAAAATAGTCACAAAAAAAGTACAATCGAAGTCATAGAATGTACAAAACTAGCAGACAGCTAAGGAAAAGGGTGATTTATTTGGTGCAGATTTACAGAGTTCCTTCCCTATAAATCTTTCCTTATAGGGAGCAGATTTTGAATAGTGAGTAAACATCCCCCAGAAACAAGATAGAAAATAGCATATTGGTCAGAGGGAAAGGAATGTGCAAGGCAGTACCTTAAAGTTAAAAGAATTTGCATTTTAGACTGTCCACCAAAGCATCTAGCTGAGGACAGATTAAAGAAAGGTGAGACTGGATGAAAGCAGGACAGTTAAAAGATTACCTCAATAATCTATGTTATGAAGTAAGTGATGAAGATGGGCAATAAAGCAGTGAAATTAGGATGGAGAAGACACAAGAGATTCAAATTTCAAGAGAGCTCTCAAATAACCTCAGTTTTTGCATGCATATAGCTTTACAATCAGATTAATTTATGCATTTTAATTTATCCAGTCATTCTTTCATTCAACAAATATTTATTTTACGATAGAGAGAAAAACATCTGAATTTAATACAGTTTAACGCCTGATATCCTTTAAAATTTTATAATGAAGACCTCCACTTGAAAATAGAATATATTATTTTATCTCCTATCCTATTTTCCTAAGACTCCATCAGAAAGATTATAAACAGAGGAAGAAGACTGGGAGAGGGACCACCATATACCTATAAGAAGGAAAGCTGATGAAGTGCTGCTGCTGATTATACATAGCAAGGGACGCTGAAACTGGAGAATGAAGGGAGAAAGGCATCCTCTAGAATCCTAGAGAGTTTCTGCACTTGGAGAGGAAGTACTTTCAAGAATAGGAGTGAGAAGCAGGATTGAAAGTTAGGGGAGTAACAAGATGTGCAGGTGGAACAAAAAATTCCCAAACTTTCTCTATTTCAAAATAATGAATATACAAGTAGATCTTTCAATCCCCCATGCATATATTTCTTTTTTAAATAAGAATCTTTTTCTCTAAAGACACTGAGTGAACTGTCAGGAAACCTATGGAAGCTAGTATAGTTATTGGTGACCCAGAGGACCCAGAGTAAAATCCACAATCTACAACATTCTGGCATGTGAGGGAGCTGCAACACCACAAACTAATGACCAACTCTTGGCAGTTCACTCTCAGACCATTTGCTATGTTATAACAAACATTATTAATATTCACAGATCTCTCAGTCAACCTCTTTATTTACTCATTCTTAAATATGAATAGCAACCAAATATTAACAGAAATTTGAGAAAAAACAGACATAAATTGACTAATGGAGGAAAAAACTTAAAAAACAAAACAAACACACACTAGTTCAAACCCTTAGAAAATACTAAAACACGAAACATGAGAAAGACACAGTAAAACAAGAATAATCAGAGATTAAGAAGGGATTAAGTAAACAATAGCACAGTTATGTGGGTAAAGCAAAAAACTGTGATGGTGGTAACAGGAATAAATAAAGTTGAGGAAACACTACTATTGATAGCACGTCAGATTTAAGTATGGTTTATTCTATTTAATTATCTAATAAACATTGTATAACACAATGTGCTTGGCAATATTCTAAACACATTATATTTAAACTCTCCCAAAATAATAAGTACAATTATGCCCTCATTTTACAGATAAGAAAACTGAGGCAGAGAGAGGTTAAGTAACTTGCCCAAGGTTTCATAGCTAGTAAGTGCTGGAGCTGGGATTTGAGCCAGGTGGTCTGCCTACAAAGTTCATGTGCTTGAACCACTTAACTATGCTGCATTTCCAGAACATAACCTTGGTAATGTACAAGTAAACGTGTATTGAAACCAAGTTAGAAAGGGAAGGGGGAAAGACAGAGGAACGAGTAAACATAAGCTTAGACTTGTTATTTAAAGCTGCAAAGATAAGCAATACACAAGCAAACCAAAAAAAAAAAAAAAGCAATATATTTATACTGGGTAAAAAGACAGGAGAAGAGATGGGTGGGGGCATAAGAAAGCTAAATGCTCACTTATTATAGCAAAAATTCTGTAGATAAAGTTAATAAATCAGAAAATAATAGTATTGTATATTATTTTATGTAAGATTATAAATACAAGCTAAACTAAAATTAGAAACCATTAAACATGATCACCTCTGAAGGATGGAATGGGGGTGGGGGTGAGGAGGGATGGAACAAGTTATTACTGCTTTGCATTTTAATCCCTTCTGTATTATGCTTTTAGTTGTATGCATATATTATTTTGATAATAATGTTTAAAATATTTTTATTTTCATTGACAACAGCCAGCTAAGATTTAGCAGCCATGAATTTTGAATCCATGAGGCATTGGTGGCTCAGTTCTCCTTCTATGCCACAGACCCACACACAATTCAGAGCTAATTCACTTCATGCAGAGACACCTATCTGTCAGTGGAGGCTTGCACGTTGCTTTGATGCTGAACAGGTTTCAGCAGAGCTTCCAGACTAAGACTGACCAGGAAGAAAAGTCTAGTGAACTACTTCCAAAAATCAGTCAATGAAAACCCTATGGATCACAATGGTCTGATTGCCAACCAATCATTACCTTGGCACAGGACCAGGCAGTGTTTTGTTCCATTGTGCATGGAGTTGCCATGAGTTGGAGGCTGACTCAACAGCAGCTAACAATAACAATTTTGAGTCTAAAGAGTCCAACATTGGCCTAGGACAGGAAAGGTGAAGTTTTTTTGTTTAGTATTATCTCTGACCAATGAGTAATGGCTATTGAGAACAGTGTTTTAAGGATTTCCAGGTTTCATCCTCCAAGTACTAATAATCTATTAAGAGCATGGGAAGGAAGGAATACTATTAGTATGCCACTGGTTTAGAGATTAACATTTTTAAAAAAATAGAAGTTAAGAGTTCTTGTAAGATAAATTAAAACATCTCTATTATCTCCTCCTAAAAATCATATAGATCAAAAAAATCACTCAGAGGACATGCCCACAATGTAACTAGTATACTGAGTAGATTTCCAGTTTTAATTTATATAAAAGGTAATGCCTGAGATCAGCAGACTCAGCTCTGGGGCTCACACCAGAACGGAGTCTGGTGGGGACTGCATGAAAGAAAGGAGAGTGTTGTGTGTCTTATAGGTGATGGAGTATGTTTAACTTAAACTATGGCACTTAAGACACCCTACCTCCCAGAGAAGATAGAGCTACTCTGAATGGGAAACGCTGACAGAGAGCTGAGGTCTGCTGGATCAGTGCAAACAGAGCACTGGATTACCTGAAAGCATAAAGAAAGGGGCTTGAAAAGAGTGCTTCTGCAAAAGAGGGAGGCACCTTGAAAGGAAGAGGCATTCCCTAGACAAGCAGATGGGTAAGGGAAAAACAAATCAAGTGAAGATAAAGGCCCTCTTGAAGCAAGAAAGTATCTAAGAAATCAGAAGATGACCCCCCCAAAAAAAAAAGCACTATTAAAGAAACAAAACTTCACTTAGCTTTTGAGCTACAAAAGCCTCTCAATCCTCTCCTTCTCCCATAAGACAAATCACCTGCTATTGCTAGTCCAGGAATTCCCATTACAAATAAACATGAACAACAGCAATAGCAATAAAATAGTAACCAGCATCCATATAAAGTTACTGTAAAGGGGAGAAAAATATAAAATGAGAAAAAGTAATCTGGCAGAGGAGAACAAAGCAAAAATACATAAATAAATGAAATAAAATCCAGCCACCAAGCAAAAGGAAACTGTAAAATAGCCACAAAACATGAATTAAAATAATTCAACAAACAATGCAAATATGTAAGAACATTATGAATCAGAAATTTAAAAATTCAAAATAAAAATGGACAAACAAAAGGAGGTGTGAAATGGGAGCTAAAAGAACTCAGGAAAATTATTAAAGAAAAAGCCCATACCATCTCACATTTAAAGACTAAATTATAAGATGCCCAAGGGAGAACACATATGACCAAATACAGTAAGTAACACAGAGAAGGAGTCCTGATGGCGCAGCAGTTAAGTGCTCGGCTGCTAACCAAAAGGCTGGCAGTTTGAACCCAGCAGTTGCTCCATGGGAGAAAGATGTGGCAGTCTGCTTCCATGAAGATTTACAGCCTTAGAAATCCTATGGGGCAGTTCTACTCTGTCTTATAGAATTGCTATGGGTTGAAATTGACTCAATGGCAGTGGGTTTGGTTTGGCTTGGCTTTTTTAACATAGATGATAGGCATTAATGATGAATGGATCACTGAGAGGTCAAGTTGTCAAGTAGGACCTAAGTATTAGGGACTATTGCAGGTATTAGGTTGGCTGGCTACACTTCCATAAATTTGGTTGGTATGGAAATAATGAACCCAAATGGATTTAGAGAGTTTATTACTCATGACACAGCAGGGAACATGAGTTTCATGTTTATATCGGTACCTTTTGCCCAGCAAAGCCCATGGGGGTGGAGTAGGACCAGCCAAAGGGGATCCAGGTGAAATGCTATGAACAGAGTGAATATATGTCACAGCTGAGGAATCCTGAGCTTAGGAAACTCCTGCTTTTTTAAGAAAGTTGCTAGCAAACATGCCTTAACCTTTGTCTCGCAGGGGGACATTATCTTGATTATACTGGTAAGGATAAAAATCTTCCCGTTGAACTGGGGGAAATCACTATCTCTAGCTTCCGAAAGGTTTGCTATGCATGTATCCTTGAAAAGATAATCCTAAACAAAATATGTCACAAAACATGTAGAAACACCATGAGACTTGCTTGCCAACAATAAAGAAAAAAAAAAACCAACAAGTATTAGAAAGTAATAGATATATAAAATATATGCAGCATTTGTATAACTTGAGACCCTGAATAAGAAATTTAAAAAAAAAGAACAAATCTTCTTTAAAAAGTAAATTCAGAAAAACTTTTCTAAATTTTCCAAAATAAAAGAAGGCCTGAATCAACATAGTGAAAGGGCTTACTATGAATCTTATGAAACTGTCACACAATGGTCAACTGTAAAACATCTTACATAGACTTTAAACATTAAAGATAAACTTCTGGGCCTCCAGACAAAAAGATCAAGCTACTTACAAAGCAAAGGAAAAGAAAAAAAAGAGTGGCATCAAATTTCTTAATAGGAACATACAAAGCAAGATAAAAGTGAAGTAAGTCACTTATGCCAGGAAAGTATGAGCAAACAATTTTTATATTTATCAAGGTTAAAGAAAAACAGTTTTAAACATGCAAAGATTAAGAAAATATCGTGCTAAAGAGCACTACCTAAGGACAAGTTTCAGTCACCTAAAAATGACTGAGAAACTTTGGCAAAAGTTTGGCAATGGTGAACATTGAAATTATTTAACTATATATAAAAGACTATAGATATGAAACAAAGGTGGTGATGAGGTAGAAGAATAGTATGTAAATGTTGTATACTGTGACAAAGCATAAATAATACAACTTTAAAATGCGAGGCAAAGAAATAAAGGGAAAAGAAGAATAAACTCTTTAATTGCTTTAACGATGATAAAGTCAAGAGAGCTCTTTTTAAAATGGAAAACCACATGAAGAAGCCTAAGAAAAAAACAAAAAAAAAAAAAAAAGATATTAGTACAAATGTAACTATAAAAACAAAAATATATATAGCAAGAGTTCAAAAATGAAGTTATATAAAACAAATTTTAAAAAACAAAACAGTATACAGTGAAAGACACAGCAAATAGAGTTTAATACAACAAAACTTGAACTGAGTCCAAGCATATTAATCACATCAATAAATATATATATTATAGAGACAGAAAGTAGATTAGTAGTTATCTAGGACAGGACAGTGAGGGCAAAGGAGGTGAAATGGGGAAGGATTGCTAATGAGTACAAGGATTCTTTCTAGGGTGAAGAAGTATTTTAAAATTGATTGTGGTGATCATTGAACAATTCTGTGAATATACTAAAAACCACTGAATTGTACACAAAATAGCTGAATTGCAAGATATGTGAATTATATATCAATAATGCCATTATTAGAAAATAAAGAATTAAAGGGCACTTAAAAAAAAAGGGGGGCGCTGTTTAAACCCATATTCTGCAAATAGGCAGCCTGAGTGTCAGGGACTTACACAATGATTGATACAAAAGAACTTACTGCTAACATTAAAAAATGGGAGATTTCCTTTGATGGTTATGAGGGAGGGGAGGGGTGCGGGAGGGGAACACTAAATAAACAATAAATAAGTGGTAACTTTGGTGAAGGGTAAGACAGTGCACAATACTGGGGAAGCCAGCACAACGAATACAAGGCAAGATCATGGAAGCTCCATAGACACATCCAAACTCCTTGAGGGACCGAATTGCTGGGCAGAGGGCTGTGGAGACCATGGTCTCAGGGAATATCTAGCTCAGTTGGCGTAACACCGTTTATAAAGAAAATGTTCTATATTCTACCTTGGTGAGTAGTGTCTGGGTCTTAAAAGCCTGTGAGCAGCCATCTAAGATACTCCACTGGTCTCATCCCTTTGGGAGCAAGGGAGAATGAAGAAAACAAGATACAAGGGAAAGATTAGTCCAGAGGACTAATAGGCCACAACTACCACAGCCTCCACCAGACTGAGTCCAGTACACCTTGATGGTGCCTGGCTACCACCACTGACTGCTCTGACAGGGATCACAACAGAGGGTCTCGGACAGAGCTGGAGAAAAAAGTATAACAAAATTCTAATTCACAAAAAAAGACCAGACTTACTGGCCTGACAGAGATTGGGGAAACTCTGAGAGTATGGCCCCTGGATATCCCACTCCTGAGGTTCACCTTTTAGCCAAAGATTAGACAGACCCATAAGACAAAAAGAGACTAAAGGGGCACACCAGCCCAGGGGCAAGGACTAGAAGGCAGGAGGGGACAGGAAAGCTGTTGATAGGGAACCCAAGGTTGAGAAGGGAGAGTGCTGACATGTCGTAGGGTTGTTAACCAATGTCATAAAGCAATATGTGTACTAACTGTTTAATGAGAAACTATTTGCTTTGTAAACCCTCATCAAAAGTACAATAAAAAAAATTAAATTAAAAAAAAGGGAGATTTTACATAAAAGGCCACATTTCCAGCTTCTCTTAAAAAATTGGAAGATGGACAATCTGAGCCAGCTTCCTGCATGGCAATGTTTTGCTGGAGCTCAGTCGTGTTGCTCTCTATAGACGGGATATATACCCTCTGGTTCACAATGAATGGTCCAACCCACTTGAGGGCCTTGGGTCAGTGTTGTGTCCCTCATAGGGAAACTTTAAAGTGCTTAAAGGTGTTTTAAACAACTCGTGAAATGCGCAAAAGTTGACCTAATTAATGGAAAGACATTTCTTGTTTTTAGATAAGACTACTGAACATTTTAAGAATGACAATTCACACTAAGTTAATATATACATTTAACACTTATCTAATAAAATTATTTTCTTTAGAGTTATACAAATTCCTTTTAAAGTTCATATGAAAAAATAACAATTAAGAATAGCCAGGAAACCCCTTTTAAAAAAGTGCAAAGGGGGCTGTAACTTTTCCAGATATTAAACATACTATAAAGCAATCACAATAAAAACAGTATGGTATTGGCCCATGAAGATTAGAAAAGACAGAGTAGAACTGCTCAATAGGATTTTCAAGGCTGTGACCTTTTGGAAGCAGATCGACCCAGCTTGTCTTCTGAGGTTTGAACTGCCAACCTTTTGACTAGTAGTCAAGGGCAAACCGTTTGTACCACCCAGGCACTCCCTATCTATAACAGATTCACAAAAATTCATAGTTTCACCACTATTGCTATTTGTGAGGCTATGTTATAAAAGATAAATTGTTTGTAGGATTGCCAAATGGTTGCTGTTAGTTTCCATCGAGTGGATTCTAACTCATGTCAACTCCTTGTACGTCAGAGTAGAACTGTGCTCCATAGGGTTTTCAAGAATATGTCCTTTTGGAAGCACATTGCCAAGCCTGTCTTCTCAGGTGCCTCTGGGTGGGTTCAAACCCTCAACCTTTTGCCTAATAGTTGAGCACTTAACTGTTTGTGCCACCAGTTTGCTTGAGTTTACATAAAGTTCCAAATAAAGCAACGAAAAAAATATTTATGTATGATAAAAATTACAAAAGACAAATTCAGGATAATAGTTACCTCCAGGGGGCAGGATAGAAAATGTAATTGAGGAAATCTTCAAAGATAATAATTATGTATTATTTCTTAAACCACATGGTGAGTACAAGCATATGTGTTTTATTATTCTTCATCAAATAGTGCATATTCTAAATACTCGTGTAAAATGTCTTATAAACAATAAATGTAACTTTAAAGAGTCAACTGCATTTACTAGCATATTCTAAGATATCTGTGAAATATATATTTGCTCGCAAAAAGCTAAAAAACATTTAAAATTTAACTGTTTTCTATTTAAATATTAGCACTTTTTAAAAGAATAAAATTCACTTATACAGTTATACTGACAGATTTTCTTAGTAGATGTTGGGCTGCTTTTTAAAGAACATGTTCCTCTTTCTTCCATAAGAATCTAGAAGAAAACCAAAATTTGAACAATTCTTAAGTGTACACAACAATATTCACTTGTATCTGTCCTATTTCAATGTTCTCATTCAAAATTCACTGAAAGCTATTTTGAAACTGTACCAATTCATTTTATGGTATTTCCCCTTTACATTACTTTAATTCAACAAAGATGATTTTAGATCCATGAAGGCAAATTATTCTGCTATGAACATTAAAACAAACTTAAATTTAAATTGGTTTAGAAACAGCAACAGAATAGACACTGCAGAGGAATGAATTATAAGCAAAAAGGAAAGGTTTCTGATAATCACAGTAGAGGTAGCTGAAAAAGACAGTCAGGTAAATTTGGGGATTTATTTTGTCAATAATTTCTTAAGTTGATATCAGTTCATTTATTTTCCAGGTTTTCTGTGTTTTGTTTTTATAATAAAAGATCATACAGATAAAAATTTTCAGTAGAACACATCACTGGTTTTGGTATTCATCGCTTTCTATATAATTCATAATTTATTTTAATATTCTCTTTTTAACCAGTGTTTAATTACCAGAAAGTTGAGGGAGGTTAAGCATCTTTTTTTCTTGGGTGGGGGGAGGGGGGCTACTTTTATTAAATTATGATTAAAGAATGTGACTATGACTGTGTTATGGATTGTATTGTGTCCCCCAAAAAAGATATGTTGAAGTCCTAATCCTTGTTCCTGTGAATGTGACCCAGTTTCGAAATAGGGTTTTTCTTTTGTTGCATTAGTGAGGGTATACCAGAGTAACATGGGTCCTAAATCTAGTCCCTTCTCAATGATGTCTGATAAAAAGAGCAGAACAGACACACACAGTCACACGGGGGAAGAGACCATGTGGGGATAGTCTATAAGCCAAGGAATGCTAAGAAACACCCTAGGCTACAGAAGCTGAAAGCAGACAGGCTTTCCCATAATAAATCTTAGACTGCTTATTCAACCTGAAGTGGTCGGCCTCTTTCTTCGGTTTATCTCTACCTTCTGCATATGCTGGCCGCTGCTGGATTTCCCATGGGAACTTCCTGGCCCACTACTGCTGCCTGACACTGGCAGAATCTAAGATTTTAGCTAGGGTTCCAGTGTACCTTAGCTTTTTCTCTGGCTAGGCATCACAAATTAAAAGCATCACACCTGTTTTGCCCAAAGAACTTGTCACGTCACCTGACTGCCCTGTAGGCTCCACCAATGGGTTTGTTTTCTTTTCTGATTTGTTCTAGCCACATTCAAGCTGCCAGCTTTCTAGACACAGATGTAGTCAAACAAAGCTTCTTTGTTAAGTCTTTCAAACTATTAATAATTCTGGGGGGGGGGGACACATATGTATAATTCATATTTTGAAAAATATGAGTTCTTTAAAGTAGTAACAGGATAGCATCTGATATTACTGACCATATCCCCCTCCTTGAAAATCTCTCTTTTTTCTTTACTATGACATCACTCCTCTAAAAAAAAACCCACCAGAAACCATATCTGTTGCTAACAAGTTGATTCCAACTCATAGCAACCCTATAGGACAGAGCAGAACTGCCCCATAGGGTCTCCAAGGAAAGACTGGTGGATTTGAACTGCCGACCTTTTGGTTAGCAGCCAAGCTCTTGACCACTGCACCACCAAGGCTCCGTACCACTCTCCTAGTACTCTTCAAACTTCTTTAGTAACTCATTCTAGACTTTCTTTTCTTCCTTCTTTTTCACTGCGCATCCTCCAAACTTAAACGTTGTGGCCCCTGCAGATTCTGTCAACCTTTGTTATTTCATAGACTCTCTTGGGAATCACATACACAAATGTATTCAACTATGGCTTATCCACTGGAGACTAAATATCTCTTCTGACCTCAAACCCTGTATATTTAAATGCCTACTATACATCTCCATATAGATCATAGCTTTCTCAGAGGACCCTCAATTGACCTTAACAGATAACTCCTAGCTCATCTTCCCATAGAAATCTGTTCCCCCTCTGAATTAAGAGTAATGCTAGGTCTTATTTTAAAAAATAGATCACAAAATGTATAATGCTCAAGCACAGTTATCTCTCTCTCATGTAAGAGTCCAAAGTAGATATTCCTGGTTAGCAGGCAATTTTCCTTCATGTAGTGATTTAGAGACCCAGTATTTTCCATCTTGTGGCTCCACCATCCCTTAGGGCCTCACTGCTATCTATCTGTCAGAAGAAGAAGAATAACAGGGAAAAGGCATTACCACTTCTTAAAAGCCTTGACCTAACAATGATGCACATCACTTCTGCTTACATTCCATTAGTGAGATCTATCCACAAGGGCACACCTAGATGGATGAAAGATTCAGAAATGTGTTCCTTGGCTGGGTAGCCATTTCACCGTGGCACCTCTATTCTATAAAAGATGGTACAGTTAACCCCTCCTATATTTTTGATCTTGGTGAACGGTACCATTCTATCAATGACCCATTTACTTAAAACATAAATGCAGGTCTTCCTCAATTTCTTCTTTCCCCTTTAACTAATCAAAAACTACTAAGTCCTATCAAGCCTAGATCTCCTAAACCTTTGCGATAGCTCTTCCCTCATTTCTATCCTTACTGCCACTGCCCAACTTCAAGTTCTTATTATTTCTTCCCCTGCCTTTAGTCTTGCTGCTTCTCAAATCTCTCCTCATTGTTGCCAGACTCAACATTTTAATACTCTGATCGCATCATACTCTCCTGCTGAAATTTCTTCAATGTCTCTCTGTTTAGTGATAGTAAATTAAACTTTGATAAGTCATACAAAATCATTTATGACTTGGCCCCTTGTATTGTTTAGAATTCTTTGTTGCCACAACCTCGCCCCTTATAATTTATGTTATAGTAGTAGCAATAATAGCAAAGAAACAAGGTACTTGTAGTTTCTAAAATAAGCTATGCTTGCTTATATTTTAGTTTCTTCCTATACCGCTCCTTCTGCCCAGACAGCTTGCCCATCTGGTAAACTTATCAATCAATACTCAGCTCACAAGTTATCAGCTTCATGAAATCTTCTCTGACTATATGAAACTTAGAAGCGCCTTTTATTAGCCTTCCACTGTACTTTGTACAAACCTCAATAAGAGCAAATTATCTTAATACACTATTCTTTTTTCTGCTTCTGTCTAGCTACTAGATTATAGCTTCTTAAAGACAGGTTCCACATCCTTTCATCTCTGTACCTCACAGAGTGTGCTGCGTAACAGCATGTAAGCTTAATGAGAAAAACTGTTTTTTCACCACTGTATCCCCAGTGTCTAACATATATGAAACACTCATTAAATATCTACTAAATGAATTGATAATATGTACTCTATGCATATTTATTGAAGAAAAAAGGAGAAAACAATGCATATAGTTGCAAATATAGTCAGACAGGACAGGAGTTATTGAATCCTGGCTTAGACCTTATGGGATCAGACTATTTTGCCAATTAGAGACAAAGTACATAAAGCACCTAGCACTGTTCTAACAATCATATACCCTTATTATAAGCATAGATTAAAACATTACATAACAAATGTTTATAGATGTTCCAATATTTTCAAATATATACCTATGTCCACCTGTGGCATATTGAAACTTTAAAGCATTTTCATCTTGGAGGAAATTTTAAAGTACTTATAGAAAGTACTTAAAAAGTATGTAGATTGGTTTGTCTCAAATAAAGCACATTACAGTTTCTGAAAAGGTATTCTTTTTATTTCTAAATATAAGCTATAATTTACCCAAAGTAAGAAAAGCAGAAGAGTCAGCATAAAAAGAAATTTTTCAATAAAAGCTAACCTTCAGTCAAACTAAACTGTCAATACCAAAATTTGACTTGACAATAGTTAATTACAAAGATGTGATAATATGCTTTACCTCTCCAAGTCCAATGTCCCATGATTGCTTAGAATGCAATTCTTCCAAAGGGATATTACCCCTAAGGATCATAAATAAGACAGTATTAACATTTTATTTCTCTCTGAAAATTATTATTCTAAATTACAGTTACCAAACTTGGCTGAGGATCAGAATTATGTGGGAATTTTTAAAAAATAAAGACTGATAAACTCCATCTCAAGGAGCCTATTTGTTATGTGTGGGTCAAACCCAGCATTCTATATTTTAAAATCATGCACTCAAGTTATTTGGATTTGCAGCTGGGTTTGGGAACCATGTTCTACATCACTTTCATAAAATACATTCTAAAATTCAAGGCCTAGCACTCTGTTTTTCACTCATAAGTTACTGGATCTTTGGAGATTTCACAACAAAGAACCTAATTTGTTAATTTTATGGAACAAATTGTGAGTCTAGTTTTTAATTAATTTGTATGTGCCATGCCAAACCCATGAAAATAGCATCTATATATACTTTTTATAAATACATATTTTAAATACATCCATAAGAAAGCACTTCCAGAATGAAAATCTATTCTAGTTCATGATTTTCAATCACTAAGATTTGGCTAAACTACAATTATCATCCAGAAAGTTTAGACTCTTCTGAAACTACTAGCTAAAATAAAGTTTTATTTTATTACCTACGAATTGCAAGTCATTACACAGAAGAGCCAATAAGGTAGCCCCAAAACTCTAAAGAATAAATTTTTAAAATGAGCCCATAATGGATGACGTTAAAAATCACCTTAAACACAAAACATCTTGTACATCAGCAGCAATAAGAGGAAGCAAAATCTGATGGAGCCTAATTGTTTTCACACAGAAAAAAAAGTACCAGTAATGGGGTGGGAAAAATGGTAATCCTGAACATAGAGAAAACAGGAAGTCTCTGAGAGGAAAATGTTGACAATGAAGAGACAAGTCTATCCCTAGAATATAAGCTGTCCCATAAACTGTTCACATGCTTGCTTATGTCATTAACATTTGAATTCTACAGCTCCCCTTGTTTTGATTCTATGCTAACCAAACAAACTTCCTATGGAGGCTTCTGAAGGTAAGAAAATGTACTTTTCACTTTAGTAAGCATTCCTATACATGTGACTCTTCTATTTCTTATTGTAAAATAATAAATTGACATTCTGGAGCGTATGTAAGTTTCTCCAACACATCAGTCAGTGATCTCAAATCTAATCAATTTTAAGTTTCACGAAAGAAGGCATTTCTAGGCTGGCAAATATGAGCACTATACTCTCAACAAGGATCATAACACCGAGATAGTGACAACTGATAATGTTTCACTGAGGCTAGTCTGCCCATCTTCAGACAGCAGTATGCCTGCCTGCCTCAATTTGCATCAGTCCAACATGTATTATACTAGATACTAATTTGTATTTCCCTGATTTACCTAGAAACTTACATATTATTCACTGGATATTTCTGGATTTTTTTCTGTGGTATCTTCTTCTGGTAATTATTTTCATATTTTCCTTAAAAATAAAAGTATGCATTGAATTCAAAATTTAGCACAGCCTATTTGCATTTTAGTCTAGCTCCACTATATGGTCATTATGAATCAGAAACAACTCACCAGCAGTGGGTTTTTTTATGTCCATTTTTTAATTTGAAGTTTATTAGCATGATACGTACAGAAGTAAGTGATCCACATTGTCATATAATATAAAGTCATTCTCTCTTTTATTTCATAATCCTCCAAACACACACACACACACACACACACACACACACACACACATATACATATATATAACAACTGAAGGGGAAAAAAAAAGAGGTTACTACATCTTCCATGTATGATACCAACCTGTTTTTTCAGAGCTGGCTGGGTAACAATGTGTCTCAAAAGATGCACTAAAATTCTTTCTTTCATTATTGTTGTACTCTTTCTGATAGCTCTGGTTTGGCTGACAATTTTCAGGATTACTCATTTTGTTAAAAGTAGAATTACTATAAGTCAATTTTGGAACTGTAAAAATGCTCCCAACACATCTCTCAGTGAAATAGTTTTTACTAGAACTAGTAATTGCACAAATATCTCCAATACTGTCACAGCCACACTTGTCAATGTTTTCCTTTAGCCTCTGTTGATCTAAGTTTAATAAATTGATCATATTTTGACTAGTAAAAGAGTCACAATTCTCTGACAGACTGCTGGGGATTGGCTGGTTTGCATCTTCAAGACAATTTAAAACTGCTTTTCTATTTTCTCCCCAAAAAGGTTGTACTGTTTGTTTTTCTTTAATGAAGTCTGACTCTCTTCTTTCATTCATGCTTCCGTAATCTTCATCCATAATTATAGCAGGTCTTCTGGTAAGGGAATTCCCATTTCCTGGACTTTGTGATAAATAAAAACATATTTAGCAAGAAAAGTATAAAGCATTTCCACTTAGAAACACTTACTTTAAAATTAAACTCTTAGAGAATATATTGAATAGCTATCAACATGTACCTAGGCAAAGTTTTTATTTTTAAAAAATTTAAATAAATAGTACTGCTTTGGGTATAACTTGGTCAAATGTGTTCTTCTAATGCCTTACTTAGTATAAAAATAATCTACACTCAGTTTAGTATTTCAACATAAAATACTATTCTAGAGTTCAATTTACTGTTATATTAACAAAACAAAATATGACCGACTTATAGTATATCTTCTTAGTGAATAACCTAGACAACCACTGTATGTCACTGCTGCTCCATTCGCCAGAGATATTTTGCAGATTGTGCAGAGAAAGTTACCTCCAGTTTTAAACATCAATCAAATAGTCAAGAAAACATTATAACAGATATTTCTTAACATAACGAGGATATAAAAATAACTGAAATTCCCAAGTAAGAGCAATACAGATAGAAATACATATGTAAGTAATAAAGCCAAGAGATAAGGTGAATCAGATGTAAAGGTTCAGCTAGGTACCTTGTAAGGTCCCTTCTAATCTGGAAATAGCAACTCTAGGTTAAGTTCAATTTGTGAACAAGAATCAAAGCTTCGACAGGAAATAATTAAAAACTAAGATTTTCTTGATTTTGTTGCCAGTGACAATCTACAAATTTATTTGGTATGCTTGGGCTGTTTCAGAGGTTGGAGGCACCAAAGAAATTTAGAAAGAAAACACATAAACTGCTAAAATTTTCACTGATTAGCCAATTTTATTTTTCTATGATATTTATCAAATACTGAATGAGCACCTGTGTTCCAGGAACTATGTCATACGTGGGGGACAGAGAGATAAAAGACAGTCCCTGTGACTTATGATACTAAGTTTGGCATTAAGTAGAGAGAGATAAATGTTCTGCCCATGAATGTTAACAGATCGTGGTCCAACACTGTTCCTCAATAAGAGCCATATTGGCATTTTGGTCAGAATAATACTATTATACCAAAATTCATTAAAAATTATAGACTAAAATAGTTAGGGATACATTCATTATGTACATTAACTTTTTATGTGCATTAAATAGGAGGGACCAATCCTTAGAAAAAGATATCATGCTTGGTAAAGTAGAGAGTGAAAACGAGGAAGACTCTCAACAAGATGGACTGACACAGTGGCTGCCAACAATGGGCTCAAACACGGCAATGACTGTGAGCATAGCACAGGACCACGTAGTGTTTCGTTTTGTTGTACACAGGGCTGCTATGAGTTGGAACCAACTCAATGGCACCTAACAAACAGCAAACAAATATTTGATGTATACCTACCGTTCAGCAAGGAGACAATGGAGTTTATATTCCAGTGAAAAATGATAATAAGCCAATAAGATAATTATCTGTATAAGCACAATGGATAAGAAATAAAAAGGTAAACAAATAAAAAAAAAAGATAATTATAGGTGCTCAAGATCATATGATGGAATAACTTGTGTTCGAGGTCCTATTTCAGATAGTTTGGTCATGAAAGTCTCTAGAATGGAACTGGCAAATAAGCTGAAAATATAGACTTTTCAGATATGTAAAGAAGGAAATAAACACATTCCAAGGAAACAGAATAATAAGTGTGACATCCAAACTCCCTGAGGGACTGAATTACTGGGCTGAGGGCTGTGGGGACCATGGTCTCAGGGAACATCTAGCTCAACTGGCAGAACATAGTTTATAAAGAAAATGTTCTACATCCGACTGTGGTGAGTAACATCTCGGGTCTTAAAAGCCTGTGACTGGCCATCTAAGATACATATACTGGTCCCATCCCCACTGGAGCAAAGGAGAATGAAGAAAACCAAAGACACAAGGGACAGATTAGTCCAAAGGACTAATGGATCAAAACTACCAAAACCTCCACCAGAATGAGACCAGAACTAGATGGTGCCTGGCTACCATCACCAGCCTGTCTGACAGGGATCAAAACAGATGGTCCTGGACAGGGTGGGAGAAAAATGTAGAACAAAATTCAAATTCACAAAAAAAGACTAGATTTGCTGGTCTGACAGAGACTGGAGAAATCCCAAGAGTACGGCCTCTGGACACCCTTTAAACTCTGTACTGAAGTCACTCCTGAGATTCACCCTTCAGTCAAAGATCAGACAGGTCTATAGGGCAAACAATAATACGCATGTGGAATATCCTTTGTAGTTCAATTATGTATAAGAGACTAAATGGGCACACCAGCGCAAAAGCAAAGACAAGAATGCAGGAAGGGACAGGGAAACTGGATGAATGGAAACGAGGAACCCCGGGTGGAGAAGGGGAGAGTGCTGAGGATGGGAGAGTGCTGATACATCATGAGGTTGGCAACCAATGTTGCAAAACAATTTGTGTATTAATTGTTTAATGAGAAACTAATTTGCTCTGTAAACTTTCACCTAAAGCACAATAAAAAAAATGCTAAAAAAAAAAAAAGATGAAATTCACAATGTACAGAATCCAAGCAAAATTATGAGGATGCAAAGAAAGGAAAATTAACAACCCAAAATAAAGAGAAAAATCAATTTGAAATAGACTGAGAAATGACACAGATGATTTGAGTCAAAGACATAAAAGAGTATTGTAACTATATTTCATATGTTTGAAACTATAGAAGACTAAGCATGTTGAGTAGATACATAGAAGATATAAAGAAGGCATAAATCAGATGTCTAGAGATGGTAAATACAATGTCTAAGATAAAAAGTACACTGGATGGAAATATCAGCAAATTAGACACCAAAGAAAATACAATCAGTGAACTTGAAGACATAGCAATAAAATCTATATAAAATACTGAGAGAAAAAAACATAAAAAAATTGAACGGAGCATCAGTAAACTGTGACAAACTTCAAGAGGACTAATTTACATGCAATTTCAGTCTCCAAAAGAGAAGGGAAGCAGAAAAAAAAAAATCTGAAGAAATAGTGGCTGAACATTTTCCAAATCTAATAAAAGGTATAAACTCACAGATCCAGGAAGCTCAATAAACCTCAAGCACAAGAAATATAAAGGATCATACTAATCAAAGGATTTGCTTAAAACCATGATCAAAAATCTTAAAAACAGAAAAAAAATGATATATTGTATAAGAATGACAGCAAAGTTCTCTTTGGAAACAAAACAATGCAAGTCGAAAGACAACTTTCAAAAACAAGAGCACAATAAAAAACTGAGAATATACAAAGTATGAAAGAATTCACCACAAGCAGAACTACACTGTAAGAAATGTTTAAAAGAAGTCCTTCAAACAAACAAACGTTACCAGATGGAAAGCTAGATCTATACAAAGTAATGAAGAGCAAAAGAAACAATAAATAGGAACTTAAATATAAAAGAGCATGTGTTATTATTTTAAAAAAGCTTTTTAAGGCAAAATTAACAACCATGTATTGCTGAGTTTATAACAAATGTAAGTAAAATGTATGAATGAAACGGCACAAAACCTGGAGAGTAGAAATGGAAGTATAATATCGTAAAGTTCTTATACTATACTCAAAGTGTTACAACTTGAAAATAGTCTGTGATTAATGAAGATATATACTATAAACCCTAAAGGAACCGTGGTGGGGGAGGGAACCAAAGCAGAGTTATAGCTAATAAGCCAACAAAAGAGATAAAGTCATAAAAAATACTCAAACCGGATAAAGACATAAACAGAGAGACGGTGCCAAAGTCTATATGAGACAAATAGAGAAGAAACAGCAAGAGGGTAGATGCAAACATAACCATATCAGTAGTCACACTGAATGTAAACATGAATGTAAAACACCCCAAGTAACAGGTAGAGATTGTCAAACTGCATTAAAAAATCAAGACCCCAATATACAGTAAAAGAATAGAAAAGATATGTCATGCTAACACTAAACCAAAAAGAGCTAGAGTAGCTACTTTAATATCATAAAAAGTAGATTTCAAAGCAAAGAATATTAACAAGGATAAAGAGGGTGATTTCATAACAACAAAGAGGTTGATTCTTGAAGAGAACATAACAAACCTAAAGTTTGCGCATTTAATAAAAGTTTCAAAATACCCAAATCAAAATCTGATAAAACTGCAGGGAGAAATAAATTCACTAGTTGGACAGTATTACCCTGGTACCAAAACCAAAAAAAAAAAAAAGATAAGAAAAAAAATTTCACACCGATTTTCTTCATGAATATAGATATAAAAGGAAGGTGGGGCCAAGAAGACGGAGTAGTCAGATGCTTCCGGTGATCCCTCTTACAACAAAGACCCCAAAAAACAAGTGAATCGATTATACATAAGCCGTGAACATCAAAGGCAAAGTTGAGGAATCGGACTGAGTGGCAGCGGGAAGAAGAGACAGTTCGGAAGCAGTGAGGAGTTGTCAGACCTGACCAGCGGGAGCTGGAGCCCTTCAGGCCGGATCAGCTCGTGGTGCACAGTGAGGCAAGCAGCAGTGCTTGGGAGGTGTTTTCCACATTGGGAGAGATCCAGCAGCAGAGAGTCTCCTCAGCCATCCAGAACCAGTGAGAAGCAGCCCTCAACTGGTGAAAGATACGTACTTGCATCTGGCCTACTGTGCAAATCAAAAACACTCCTCTTTGGGAAAAACGTCTCTCCCATTTACCTCCCTGCTCCCCGCTCTACACTGGGTCTGGGACAGCTTCAGTGACTGCCAAATCCCCTGGGCTGGAAGTAGAACCTGTCATGTGCCCTGAACCATTCTCATGGCCTTGGAGAGGGAACAAACAAACGGGAAAAATCGTCTGCCGGCTCCCCTAAGCCAGGAACTCAAGGTAGGCACAGCTCCTTTGCACAGGCATAAGGGGTCCACAGACTTTGAGTGCCTTTCCCCCTGCACAGAATTGTGTGGGACCCTTTCAACAGCATAGGCCCTCAATTACCACAGTACAACAGTGTATATACCTGAAGTCTAACATCAACTATTTGACCTATCAAGTGGCA